GTTGGTCTATAAATAATAACAACCACCAAAGAGAACTCTGTAGTCATATACATGTGGGGAGCCTTCAGACAAGTTTATTGCAGGACTTCTCAGAGTTTGTAATATGCCCATATGTATTATGAATCTCAACATGGGGCACAGCAGTTTTATTTATCATTCTTCAAACTCATTTGGATTATAAGCTCTTTTTCCCCACAGAGCATCTTGAGGAACTGTTCCTCAAAATATATGGGCAAATGCAGATTTATACAAAAGAGAAGAAGCAGCAGGAGTGTTGGACGAGGTTAAATCTAAGTCGATGCTTTTGAGGAAAGACACAAAAATGTAGTAACTTCTAAAAGAAGCAATAAGAACATAGCAGGATGACTTTCTTTTTAAGTTATTTAAGAAAAATAAAAGATGATAGTAATGGAATAGGGGGAGGATTCTGTGTGTACATCTATTCCCCGAGCTTTCCCTTCCAGAAGTTACTAGAGTTGGCTACAACTCTCCAAGGCCTGATAAGAGACCTGGAATCTTTTTTTTTCTCTAGTTTTATTGAGATATAGTTGACATCAAACACTGTGTAAGTTTAAGATATACAGTGTAATGACTGACATATATGTATTGTGAAATAATTACCACAGGTTAGTTAACTCATCTATATCTCACATAGTTACCACCTATCTTTTGTGGTAAGAATGCTTAAGATCTCTAAGCAACTTTCAAGCATACAATACAGTATCACCAACTATTGCCACCAGATTGTACATTAGATCCTCAGAAATTACTCATATTATTACTAAAAGTTTGTACCTGTTGACCAACATCTCTTCATTTCTCACATACCCCTAAGACCCTGACACCCACCAATCTATTCTCTGTCTTTATGAGTTAAGCTTGTTTAGATTCCACACACAAGTGAGATCATAATGTATTTGCTTTTCTCTACCTGACTTATTTGAGTTAGCATATTACCCTCAAAGTTCATTCATGTTTTTGCAAATAGCAGAATTTCCTTCCATTTTTTTTTTCCTTCAGATATATACCCAGAAGTAGGATTGATAGATTATATGGTAGTTACATGTTTAACTTTTTGAGGAACCTCCATACTATTTTCATTAGTGGCTCTACCTATTTACATTCTCACCAACAGTGCACAAGGGTTCCCATTCTATACATCCTTGCTAGCATTTATGTCCTCTTGTCTTTTTTATATTGTCCATTCTAAAAAGTATAAGGTGATATCTCATTGTGGTTTTGATTTGCACTTCTCTGATGATTAGTGATGTTGAGCCCCATTTCATATATTTGTTGGCCATCTGGAGGTGTCTTTGGAAAAATGTCTATTCAGGTCCTTTGCCTAGTTTCTAATTAGATTACTTAGTTTTTCTATTGAGTTATAGGAGTTCCTTATATATTTTAGATATTAATCAAATATATGATTTGCCAGTATTTTTTTCCATTCTGTAGTTTGCCTTTTCATTTTGTTGATGGTTCCTTGGCTATGCACAAGTTACATACTCCTCCTTGTTTGTTTATTTTTCCTTTTGTTGCTTGTGTTTTTGGTGTCATATCCAAAAAGTCAGGGCCAAAACCAATGACAAGAAGATTTTTCTCTGTTTTTTTTTTAACCTAGGAGTTTCATGATTTCAGGTCTTAACATTTAAGTCTTTAATCCATTTCAAGTTAACTTTTGTGAGTGGGGTCCAATTTCATTTTTTTTCATGACTATCCAGTTTTCCTAACACCATTTATTGAATAAACTATCCTTTACCTATTGAGAATTACTGCCTCCTTTGCCAAAAATTAGTTGACCATCTATAGATGGGTTTATTTCTGGACTCTCAATCTCATTCCATTGGTCTATGGATCTCTGCCATACTGTTCTGATTATTACAGTACTGTAATATAGTTTAAAACCAGGACATGTGATGTCTCCAGCTTTGCTCTTCTTTCACATGATTGCTTTGGCTATTCAAGGTCTTTTGTGGTTCCATACACATTTTTGGACTGCTTTTTCTATTTCTGTGAAAAATGCCATCAGGATTTTGATAGGAATTACACTGACTCTATAGATGGCTTTGGGTAGTATTGACATTTTAACAGTACTAATTTTTCCAATCCACAAAAACAGAATATCTTTCCTTTTATGTGTCTTCTTCGATCTCTTTCATCAATGTCTTTTAGTTTTCAGTACACAGATCATTCACCTCCTCAGTTAAATTTATTCCTAAGTATTTCATTGTTTTTATGCTATTATAAGTAGGACTGTTTTTCTTTATTTCTTTCTTAGTTGTTAGTGTATAGAAATGCAACTGAGTTTTATATGTTGATTTTGTATCCCGCAACTTTACCAAATTTATTAGTTCTAATACTTTTTTGTGTTTTCTACATTCAGACATGTCATCTGAAAACACAGACAATTTTACTTCTGTTTTTATGATTTGGATGCCTTTTATTTCTTTTTCTTGCCTAATTGCTCTGACTAGAATTGCCAGTACTATGTTCAATAGGATGGTGAGAGTGGATACACTTGTCTTATTCCTGACCTCAAAGGAAAAGCTTTCAACCACTGAATATGATGTTAGCTGTGAATTTGCCATATATGGGCTTTATTATATTGAGAAATGTTCCTTCAACACCCAATTTGTGGGGGGGGGGGGGGGGGGGGGGTTAATCATGAAAGGGTGTTGAAGCACTTTTTCTGCATCTATTGAGGGGATCATATGATTTTTCTAATAATGTGGTTTATTGCATTTATCAATTTGCATATCTTGAACCATCCTTGCATCCTCAGGTTAAATCCCACTTGATCATGGTATGCGATCTTTTCAATGTGCTATTGAATTCAGTTTGCTACTATTTTGTTGAGAATTTCTGTATCACTATTCATTAGGGATATTTTATTTCCTTGTACTGTTCTTATCTGGCTTTGGTATCAGGATAATTCTGGCCCTATTAAAGTGAGTTTTGGAGTGCTCCCCTCTCTTCAGGTTTTTGGAAAAGCTTGAGAAAAATTGGCATTTATTCTTCTTGGAATGTTTGGTAGAATGCACTAGTGAAATCACCTGCTCATGGGCTTTTGTCTGTTGGGAGATTTTTGGCTACTGATACAATCTCCTTAATCATTATTGGTCTGTTCAGATTTTCTATTTCTTTTTTATTCAGCCTTGGAAGGTTGTATGTTTCAAGAATTTATCCATTTCTTCTGGGTTATCCAATTTCTTGGCACATAATCATCCATAATGGCCCCTTTTGATAATTTGTATGTTTGTGGTATCAGTTATGTCTCTTCTTTCATTTGTAATTTTGAGTCCTCTCTCTATTTTCTTGGTTAGTCTAGCAAAAGGTTGGTCAATTTTGTTATTATTTTTAAACCAACTCTTGGTTTTATTGATTTTTTTCTATTGTCTTTCTAGTCTCTTTCATTTAGATCTGCTTTAATCTTTGTTATTTCCTTCCTTCTGCTAACTTTAGGCTTATTTTTTTTTCTTCTTTTCCTAATTCCATGAAGTGTAAAGTTAGGTTGTTTATTTGGAAACTCGGAGTCTTAAGTCAGACCAAGGGCACAAGCCACACTCAAAGGAACTACATGAAGAATTTCAAAAGAAAATTCTTTAATGGCAAGAGAACCATACCCAGAGGCATGACATGAGCACTGCCCACTGACTAAGACATATATGGACAGAGCTTCCAGAAAATCTGGCAGGAAGCTTACTAAAAATTGAGCAGTAGGGATAAGATAAATTTAATTTAACTTGGTTTTTAATGCCAAAGACTGGGTCCTTCAAAAAGGAGAAATGAGGAAACTAATATAGAATCAGTTAGAACTTTTGTTTAAAAGTAGTTCAACCCCCTACTCAACAAACACATCTTCAGCTATATATACTTTCGCTCATGCCATTTTCTCTGCCTGGAATACTTCCCCATAACCACTTTTCATTCTTTCACTCTTCTCATCTTGCCCTTCAAAATTCACCTAAAGCATCATCCCCTTTAGGAAGGGTTCTCCCAAGTTGCAGTTAAGGTACTTGCTTCTATAATATACTTTTAAGAAACAAATAATCATTGCACACCTACCTCCTGGAAGGTACCTGATGCATTCCTCCTTCATAAAACACCTATTTGTAGTACAGAATATAATTTTCACTGACCTATTTACATTTTTCACCTATTACCCCCATTCATCCATCCCAGAACCCAGGCAGTGCCTCTGTTCCTATGAACTACTAGGTGCTAGAGATCAAAATAATTCAGAAGTTGCCCCTGCCCTCAGGTAACTCATGAGCTACAGGGAAAAAAAGGAAGTAAACAATTATAGCTCACAATAGGAAGAAGTATGCTGTAAATAATGGCATGCGCAAAAGAAGTTGAGCTCTTGAGAAAGGAAGAGATTGTGTGCACAAGGTTTGTACAGGAAAACATGTTCAGTGCTCTGAACCTGTGTTGTAACAAGTTCATCAAACATGCACATTGGCCTTACTAATAGCCTGAACACCCATCACCATTTAGCTCAGACAGTGTGAGTGCATTTGCATTTTCATTTCATTTCTTTCTGTACAGTGTTAAGTTGCATTTGAAAAACTAGGTATTCTTCCATTCATGTGGCTGTCCTAACAAGCTAAATTCAAATCAAGGAATGAGAGGGAGGCCAAAAGAAAATGCATGGCATCCATAATCTTTAATCTGCAATTGTGTGTAGGTGTTGGAATCATTCTATTATTGGACTTTAAGCAGCTTGTTGAAAATCAAGCTCATGAACAGAACTTCTATAACCATAAAGGATTTTTCTCCTGTGATGAGGCACTAAAATGATAGGTGTTAAATACGAAGGAAAGAGAGATTTCTGAAGACAACTGTCTCAGTCAGATTTTGAAAGAGGAAGCTAAGTGACTATCTGAGGTTGGGTGGGGAATGGTCAGAATTCACTTGGAGGTGGTGTCCTGACTTATTAGAACCTGATGGCGCTCACCCAGCAAGTTCCTTCCAAAAGGGCACAGGCAAAATAGGAAAAGTACCTCCGCAGTTCATTCATAACCTTGAACGCCTTCCCCATGTGGGCAGGGTTGACAGTGATAGTCCTCTGGTTCTTCTCATCATCCCCAGCCTGTATCGGGGGCTGGGAGCTCAGCTTGATGCTGTGAACAGGAAGGAAGTGGGAAGGGAAAAAGAGGATCACATGTTGGTAAACCCATTCACCCAGCTGCCACCAGGCCATGCATTTGCCCACCCACCAGGGGCATCACTGTCAGCCTGTTCTCTTAACCACAGACCCAGCAGGGAAGTAATGCATTGGGTCAGTCATTTCTGCAGGGTCTTTCAATGCAAAGTGCATTCCTCTAGTAGATGCCAGGTCCTAGCTCAGCTTCTTCCACCAAGCACTTTTATGACTGTGTTGGAGTCCTTAACTTCCATCTCTCCATCCCCTAAAGGGGTACGGAGTCGGGGGAGACTATACTATTCAATTCACAGGGATATTTGTTCATTCAACATCTAATGGAGCCTACTATGTGCCAGGCACTGTATTTAAATTTAAGGGAAACACAACAATAAACAAGGCACAGACCCTGCTTTCACAGAACTTCGAGTTCAGTGGAAGAGAAAACCAAGTAAGCATTTAACCATTGCATCTTAAGTATTATAATTCAATAAGAGTTATAGAAACACAAGGGATGGGCAACTATCCCAATGCTGGTATGTTGAGGGAAAAGTTCATATATTAACCAGGTGAAAAAGAAGATGGAGAGTATTCTGGCAGAGGGAACAGTATACACAAACCCCTGGAGAAAAAAAGGCAAGTGTGTACAAAGTACTGAAGTTCGGTAAAACTTGAAGAAAAGTATCAAGAGAAAAGGTGAGAAGACTAAACAGTTCTATGTCATGTAAGCAAAGTTAAGGAGTTTTGATTTCATTCTGAGACCATGAGAAGCCATTGAAGGGTTTTAAGAGAGAAGCAGGCAGGAAGCAGATGTACATATTTGTACTTCAGAAAGATCACATTGGCTACTGTATAGAGAACAGTGACACAAGAGTGAATGCTTTTGAGAAACCATAATCCCATACAAAGATAAGGGCTTGTAATTTGTTATGAGAAGGCAGGCTATCTATGTGAGCTAAATGAGCAGGTGGTGACTAGCAAGCGTCTCTTATAATCTCAAAGCCCTCTGTATCAAAGACAAAACGCACCCAGAATCCCAATTACTCCCAAGCAACATGTCTAAACGTTATAGGGGGTGGGAAAGAATCAAAAGAATGAGCAAAAAAAGGACTTTCTCCCCAGACTGATGAAACTATTCAGCTCCATGGTTAAGTCTGAACCTTGGAGTCACCTCTGTCAGGACAAGGCTAAGCTTTGCTTTGCTAGTAGCAAAACAGAACCTTCTCCACATGTGTAGATTTGGGGATCCACAGTTCACTCCAACTCTAAGACAATAAGACTACTTTTCTTTGCCTTTCCCTTCACCTCTGTCCATTCTACTACCTAGCTTTGCAAACCGGCTTGAGAAAGGGGATGTTGTGATTAAGAGAATGTTCCAGAGACCTGAGAGTCTCTGTAGATCTCATACTGGGATTTGTAACATTCGAATACAATCCAGCATGCCAGACCCAGAGCTCATCTGACCATCGCAGACTCATCCTTTGGTTTCCTTCCCCACCTTCAATTCAGCTGCGGGACTGATGTGTACGAGTGCAAAGAACTTAGCCGAGCACAAGACAATAAATATAAAGAGATGCACAATGGCAGATGATTATAGAGTTATGTATTTAAAGAGAAAAAGAAAATCTCAAAACTGAAAATGTGATCAGAAAGAGGGAGTACCCAAAAAACTTGAAAAACTTCATGTAAGAAATCCCACAAGCATAGCTTGTTTTATAGTTAGAGTCCTTCCCCATCTCTAGGCCAGAAAGATATTTTTTATTTTATACTAATATTTTTGCTTTTGATATTTAATCCCTTATTTTAGCTTATATTGATTTTTGTGTCATGATGTGAAATAGGGATCTACTTTTTTCCCCATAAGTTTCACTTACTGAATACTTCTCATTTTTCCTACTCACCTGTCATGCAATCTTAGGTCACATATTAAAGTTCCAAATATACAGGGATCTATTTCTAGACACTCTAATCTATTCCATTGGTCAGTTTATCTGTCTCTGTGCCAATAACACATTATATCTGTAACTTCATAATAAGGCCTGATATCTGATAGAACAAGTCCGCAATCCTATTATTACTCTTCGGATGTGTTGACTGTTCCAGTCTCTTTACTCTTTTGCACAAATTTTAGCATCAGCTTGTCAAGTTCCATGAAAGACTCTGATGGGATTTTGATAGAAACTGCATTGAATTTATAGATCAATTTGAATAGAATTGACATCTTTCTGGTATTATGTCTTCCTATCCATGAACATAAAATATCTTTCCATTTATTTAGGTCCTCTTTACTGTGACTCAAATTTTTATATTTTTCTCTATGAAGATCTTACACATATACGATTAAGTACTTTATGGTTTTTGTTGCCATTTTATAATGGAAATGGTATCTTTTTAAATTATATTTTCTGATTATTATGGTTTATAAAATGAAACTGATTTTTGCAAACCAATCTTATATCCAGCCACCTACCAAATATTCCTATTATTTCTAACTATTTGTAATAAGATTTAATTAGGTGTTCTGTATAAACAATCATATTACCTCATATAATGCAAGAGGTTTTTTTCCTCTTTTCCAATTCTTAGGTCTCTAATTTATTTTTGAAGGAAATTCTGTACTGGCAAATGTGTATTGATGAATATTCTTGTCATCTTTCTGATTTTAAAGATGTTTCTAATGTTTACCCACTGTGTATGTTTGCTGTATGACTTTTGTAGATGTCCTTTCTTAATCAAATTAAGAAAATTCCCTTGTATATTATTGTTTTTAATCATAAAGTTATGCTGAGTTTTATCAAATGTTTTTTGTGAATCTAATGAGATGATCATATGGATTTTTCCCGTTATTCTTTTAATGTGGTAAATAATAGTAACATATTTTCTAATACTAAACCATGCTTGCATCCCTGGGATAAATCTAGAGACTATAAAGCATTGCACAAATATTCATTATAAATGTTGTCTTCAAATTGTAGAGAGACTTAAAAGCCAGGAAGAGATAATATAATTTGGTATCAGGTTACCACTGAAGGTTTTTAACAGGGAACTAATAAGATGACTGCTCATAAAAGCTCAGTGGACAAACATTATTAGTTCCATTTCACATACATAGAATAGATATAGACCAAATAGAGCCATTTTGGAAGTACTGACAACAATCTCCAGAATGACTAGCAGTTAGGAAGGCTTGCTCTTCCTTGTTTTGTTGGGAGTTTTTTTGACAAGTTCCAGCCTTCCAGAATGGCCCAATAATGATATATCCCTGTTAATATAATGTTGTGTTTACCAAAAGGTCTCAAACATAAAATAGATTGCCTATTATCAGAGGATTAAAGTTCAAAATGCAATTTTGACCATACACTAAAGCCTCCCTGAAAGAACCACTTGATGACCATAGAGCTGGGTAGGAAAAGGACCTATGGTTTCCCCATTCTATTCAGAGCCTTTTCCACCCTTGATGCAAAGGAAAGGCTTGACACCAGAAGGAACCCAAGGTCTTTATCATCCTTGCTATGCTTGGCTGTGAAGACACTGGAAGTCTGGAGCAGGGTCTCTCATTTCTGGAAGATACAAGATTCTTGGCGACCCAAAGGGCCTTCCAGGGAGCATGAAGTTAAGAAAAGAGAAGATCGGGGGCTCAGAGAAGTTAAGAACCTTGTACAAGGTCACAGATAATAAGTGGCAGAGATGGGATCTGAGCTCAGGTGCCCTTGACTTGAATCAGCCCAAATTATTTACAACACAGCCTACACCCTCTGGCAATATAGTACATACATCTATGCATACACATGGCTCAGCCTAGGATCACATGCTCAAAGAGTTGCTAGATCCCACCATTTCCTTCCCTATACCTTTCTCCTTTCATTCATACCAGACCTTAACTAGTTAATTCCCAACAGACAGCCCAATCCCACTCTCTCAAGGCCCAATCCCTGGCATGCTCAGTTACCAGCATGATACCAGACAAGGCTGGTAGATTCCCCTCCCCACCTGTGAGACACAGACCAAACTGAGGTATATTCCCATCTCTTGCTAAAGTTCAAGGTCTAAGACCATACTTTTCACCCTACCCAGACCGAGCCAAAATCATACACACACCCCCCACTCCAGGCTGACTCAGCCACAAGATTTTTATATTTATTTTAGAGGGGAAGGGAGGGAGAAAGAGAGGGAGAGAAACGTCAATGCAAGAGAGGAACATCGATCAGTTGCCTCTCCTGTGTGCCCTGTCCAGGGACGAAATCCACAGTCCAGGCATGTGCCCTGCCCAGGAATTGAACTGGCAACTTTTGCTTTGCGGAATGATGCCCAACCAACTGAGCTATACCAGTGAGGGCAGCCACAAGATGTTTCTGCTGAAAAGTGTTTATCAGTATGTACCCTTACTCTAAGTACAAAGTGGTTGATTTCTCCAAGAGTAAAGAACTGGCTCCAGCTTCAACCCACCTTTAATCCTCAGCCCTTATTAAAACCACACCAGGTTTCAAGAACTCCCACCCAGCCCAACTGAGGTGATTCAGTCTTCAGAGTTTCATCATCTGGCAAGAGGCCTATCAATTCTGTCCATAGTCAATGTCAATTTATATGCAGCCCTTCCACCATATCTAAAACTCCGGCTGCTGAACAATGGAGCCTTCCACCATCCTCAAATGTCCACAGAGTCACAGCAACATACATTCAAGTTGAGCCACAGTTAAGATTCAAATGGGTCACCAAAAACAGATGTGGTGAGACATATGGGCCAACCAGAATCCTTGTTCTTTCCTATAGAAGTATACAGAAATAATTATCAAAGCAATTTCCCCCAGCAGAATCAGAACACAGCAAACTAGTCAATTTTTCAAACCACCACATAACTGGCCCAAAAGTTGAATTAACTTCACACACTGTCCTGTTATTATTAAACGTACTTCATATGAACCACCACTGGTGCCATGGTGAACCCAGTGCAGTAAATAATTCCTCTAGCCCAGCAGGTAA